CTTAATTATTTTTTTAATACCTATTACCCAGTAGCGTCTTTTAATATATGCTTCCATTACCGAGTTTCCGCCATGAAGTGTTTTATAGTGTGCTTGTTCTGTAATTAATTCCGTGTATCTGTCTCTAACCAGAATGATTGGATGCTTCTGGTTTTCAGTTAGCTCACTGTTAGTTAGTCTTCCTCCGACTCTTAAGATACCTTCTTCATCTGTAAATGGTGTTAATTGAATAATTCTACTTCCTCTGCTGATTTCTTTTCTTTCTTTAATTAATTTCAGTTCTGCTGAAAAGTGTTTTTGTTGATGATATTTAATTAATATAGTTCTAGCCTCTTGTAACTCTTTTTTTGATAAGTATTCTGCTTGATTTTTATTTCTTCTGAGTCGGTTTATGAATCTTAGTATATATGCTATGATTCGTTCCAACCTAGTTAGACTGGAGTTTGTTTCCATAAGTTGTTCTATTATTTCGTTATTTTGGCTTGTAACTGTTGTCAGTATTTTCACTTCTTCTATTTTTTCAGGTTTTGGCCAATCTTTTTCTTCTTTTGTTAGCCATGAGGGTCCGTTCCACCATAATGGATTATATTTTAATTTAGAAGGACATATTCCTCTGGAAGCTATATCTGCTGGATTTTCTTGTGACTTTACATGTTGCCATTTTGTTTTTGGTATCCATTTTTTTATATCTTCAACTCTTGTTCTTACAAATTTTTCTTTATTTTTAATATTTTTAATCCAGCATAGGGTAATCATTGAGTCACTCCAACAGTATATCGTGGCGTTATTATTCAATATTTGTGAAACTCGTCTCATTAATTTTGCAAGTAAATGCGAACCACATAGCTCTAATTTTGGAATTGTCTTTTTGTTTTTTATCGGCGATACTTTGCTTTTAGCTGTTAGTAATTTTACAGATGAACCAATTTTTACGTATATGACAGCTGCGTATGCTGCTTCTGATGCGTCGCAGAATCCGTGAAATTCCCAAGTTTTTGAATTTGTAGTTCCTATCCATCTTGGTATTTTTATTTTATCTATGTTTTGCATATTTTTTTTATATTTATCATATTCTTTTTGTAAATCATTATTGAGCTCATCATCCCAGTCAAATTTATTTAGCCATATTTTTTGCATATATATTTTAGCTGTGACTGTTACTGGTGTCAGCCAGCCTAATGGATCGAAAATATGCGCTGTGTTTGAAAGTATCATTCTTTTCGTCCATTTATTTATATTTTCCATTTTTATAGTAAAGTGGAAGTTATCTTTTATTGGATTCCATTTAAGTCCTAAGGTTTTTACTGATTCATCTTCATGTATATTGAGTATTTTTATCTCGTTGTCATCTGGTAGTTCTTCCAGTATAGATTCATGATTTGACATCCATTTCCTGAGTTGGAATCCTCTAAGACTTAAAGTTTTATTAATTTTATTTATTTTATGCCTGCATTCTGATATTGAATTAGCTCCTGTCATTAAGTCATCCATGTAGAATTCTTTTTTTATGCTATTTTTTATATCTTTATTTTCTTCTGATTCATCAGCAATTTGATGTAATGTTCGTACTGCTAGAAAAGGTGCAGCTGCGGTTCCATATGTAACTGTTGTTAATCTATATTCCATAATTTTTTCCCTTGCATTTTCTCTCCATAAGATTCTTTGATAATCTTGGTCTTCTCGTGCAATTTTTATTTGCCTGAACATTTTTTCTACATCGGCTGAAGCGACGAATTTCCATAATCGCCATTTCATTAATATATCAAATATATCCTGCTGTAATCTTGGCCCCGTCATCATTATGTCGTTCAAGCTTTTTCCATTTGTCGATTTTGCTGATGTATCGAATACTACTCTTAGTTTTGTAGTGCGACTTGATTCTCTTATCACTGCTTGATGCGGTAGGTAATATTTTCCTATTGTATTATCTTTTACTTTTTCCATATGTCCTTTCTGCTCATATTCTTGCATGAATTTTATGTATTCAGTTCTTTTCTCATTACTCATTTTTTTCTCTTGGTTTAGGAATCTTGCCATTGCTTGATTTCTAGATTCACCTAGTGTGGCATCTTTTTTTAATGGAAGTTTCACTATAAATTTTTTGTCGCCGTCTATTTTAGTGGTGTCATCATAAAATTGCATACATATTTCATCTTCTGCTGTTTTTTCATTGATTGTGTTATCTGCTTCTTCTAGTTCCCAAAACTTTTCTATGTTTTTTGTTGTAATTGTTACTTTACTTCTTTTTGCTGGTTTCTTTAATACTTTGCCTGATATTATCCATCCAAATATTGTTTCTTGGGCGATAATTCCATTAATTTTCTTGAACCCTTTCTTTATTATTTTCGGGATAATGTCACTGCCTATTATTAAGTCGATTTGTTTTGTTTTCATGAATTCAGGATCTGCTAAGTTGTAGCTTTTCCACTGATTCTTATTGTAGTCTATTGTCTTTTCTGGCAATGGTCAAATTAGCTTGTTCATGACTATAAACTCTTCTTTCATATTTATATTATTAATTTTAGATTTTATTTCCATTATGACCTTTGAATTTGCTTGCCCTACTGAAGTTTCAGCAAGCCCAGTTAATTTAATATCGGTTTTTACTTTTTGTAAACCTAAGATATGAACAGCTTCTTCTGATATCATTGATGCTTGGGATCCTTGGTCTATAAGCGCATGTAGTTCTTTATATTCTCCTCTAATTGTTTTCCCTTTAACTATTGCTGTTGGTAGTAATACTACTTCGCTTTCATCTTTTTTTGTTACTGCGATCACCTTAGTTTTTGTTGATTTATCCTTTTTTTCTTGTTGATGCTCATTATGTAGCAAGGTATGATGATCTCTACTATTACATATCTTACATGTGTACTTTGATATGCATTTGTCTTGATTTTTATGGGTCAGGCAAATTTTACACGTGTCGTTAGCGTTTAGAAATGCTCTTTTATTGCTGATAGGCAATGAACTAAATGATGAGCAGCTGTATATTTTGTGCCCCTGTTTTCTACAAAATGAACAGCTAAAGTTTATAGATGTATTTATTTGCTGATTTACTGGTAATCGTCTTTCAATATTTGATATTGCTGAAAATTTTCTGCATTCGTTTGTTGTATGTCCCGCCTTATTACAGTACGCACATATTTTCTTCGGATAATTTATCTTTCTATCGTCTGTTTCTTTATTTTTCATAGCATCTAGAGCTTGAAATTGATGTTCTAAAAATTTTTGTACCTCATCTAAGCTTTGTATTTCAGTTGGATTTTTGGCACCTAACTCGTACATCCTTAAGCTTTCTTTGTCCAGCTTTCTTAATATTATTCGTGCTATTAAAGGTTCTGCATTATTAAGGTCGATACCCATTCCATTTATTGTATTAATGCATTCGTTTGTTGTGTCTGTTAGCTGCCTTATACTTTTAGCATCCCCTACTGTTGTAGATGGTTGGTCGAGTAATTGATCTACCTGTGTTCTAAATAACCACCTTCTGTTATTGTATCTTTTTTGTAGCATTTCCCAGGCTGTTTTATAATTAGCCTCAGATACATTCATATGCTGGATTAATCTGCCAGCTTCACCTTTTACTACTGCCTTTAATCTATACATTTTTTCGGAATCTGGTATATCTCTTATATGTATAGCTTCATGAAACAAATTAGAAAATGTGTTCCACTCTTTTACATCTCCGTAGAACGTCGGCATCTTGAATGGTTCTAGCTTTACCGGCTCCAATTCATTTTTTACCACTAGTTCTGCTTTTTTTTTACTTTCATTTAATTGATAAAGTACAATGTTTAGTTGGGTATTGATCTGTTTATATGTTGTTCTGCCATTTTTACTTATTTCCAGTGTGTCATTATATATAATCTCTATATTTTTTTGTTGTTTTTTTAATTCTTCTATTCGCCAATCTGGTACTTGAAGTTCGTTGTTGTAATGAATTTCTAACATTGCATCTAAATCTTCTTGCAAGTCGTCAATCAGCCTCATTAACCTGGTTTCTAATTTACTGATTTTTTTAACCTCTTTTTTAGTGTCAACTATAGTTATATCATTGTCTTCTGATATTTTAACCGCTTCACTTTCTTCTTTGTTGACTTTTTCCGTTGTTTCAGTGGTATTATCGGTTTCTAACATCTTTTTATAATATTTTTGGATTGTATCGAACCAACATTCTTTAAAGTACTCATCTGTTTCTGCGCCTTCTTTTAGTAGTTCTTCGTGGTTTACCTGAAATTTTTTCCAGTTCTTTTCCACTTTTTCTATTTTATCGGCTGTCTTACGTAGTCCCTTTTCTTTAATTTTTTCTACTGCAGTTATTATTTCTTCTCCAAGCTTTTTTTGCGCTTCATAAAGCTTTAGTTTTTGTGCCATATTTGTTGTGTTTTTTTTTTATATAAAATCTTCTTTTTCGAGTATTTTAATTTTTAATCGTCTTCTGAGGTGGATAGCTGCCGCTGTCTATTGGCTGCCGCTGTCTCTTAGCTGCCGTCGTGTCGTAGCTGCCGCTGTCTTTTTGGCTGCCGCTGTCTCTTAGCTGCCGTCGTGTCGTAGCTGCCGCTTTCTATTAGTAAAAGGTCACTGCCGCTGTTACTCCCGTTGGATTGACCCTATTTCTACCTAATATTACAATTTTTAAATCCTATTGGTGTCTATAGCGATTAACGCCTCCGACCCTGATCAGAATGCGTTAGTAAAACGCCGCTCCGACCTTACAATTTCTCTAACTAAATGTATATTTTTTTTTTCTGCCGCTGCCCTTCAATGATGCACGGCTTCCTTCGCTGCAGCACTTCGGCCACTAAGCGCTGTTTATTGTATCGGGAGGATACCAAACAAACAAATTTTCTGTCTGTTTTTTTTTTTTTTGTTGAAATATTTCTTCTTCTTGAAGGAATATTTCGCACCAATATAAAGTTTTGGTGATTTTTTTTTTTAATATCCTTAGGTCTCTTACCACTGGTGATGGAAAACGCTAAGGCTCGAAGGACCAAATGTTCAGAATTAAAACAACTGAACCGTTTGAGTATTTGTAAATTATTGATTTTATTTAAAACAACGTTCTGTATTTATACAAAAATATCTTAAGATTAATTTTACATCAAGGTTATTATTTTAATGGACTGTATTACATTTTGTTATTGTTTGTAAAAAAGGTTAAAAAAGGACGGAAGTCCCAACACTAGGGATTTTCCTCCTATTGTTTCTATAAATAATTTATTGTTATAATTAGATACGGATGCTCAAATGTTACAATGCTTGCTATATTAATATAATGTATTTTTACCCTTGTACATTATTCTGGGAATTTAGGTGATAAGGTTTTAAGCGATAATAATAAACTAAAATAATATAATATATAAAATAATTAAATATTTATAAATTTATGTTCATGATTGAACACCGTATTCAAATATCATTTCTTATCCCCCCATTTGCATTTTAACTATAGCTTTAGCCATATTCTGGATATTAATATAACTAGTAATCTTAAAAATAATGTCGACTTCGTTGTCTTTACTGAAATAAGGTCCTAGTTTGAAGTAGTTTCCAAATTATAAAAAATTGTTTCACAAATACTCCAACACGAGAGTGATTACAGATTAGGCCCTATATAAAACTAAATTCCACTCTTTCAAGTTCAAAGTCATTGAAACATTTTAACAATAGCATAAAAACCTTTACTTATAACATATTAGATTTGCTTAACAATAATACCACTCTAATATATATCAATATTAAGAATACGTTCGTTATTTTATGCAGAATTAAATATCCGATACATCGCAAAAACCAAATAGGAAACCAATTTCATCAAACAAAAACTGATTGACGAATGTAACAATTAGAAATATGGAGAAGTTTCAGGAGTCAGACAATTAACTATAAATTTTTCTGAACCTTAAATAAATTATAAAACAGAACAATAATTCACTAATACACGGATCAATAAGCTAAACATTCACAGACGTTGAAAAACTTTCTCGAACTCCAATTTCAAGGAGATGTGTCTTATGATCAAAATATAAAAGAA